GTAGTGAGGGACCCAGAACTGAACACAGAATTCAAGGTGTGGCTTCTCCAGTGCCAAGTACAGGGTGACGATCACTGCCCTGGTCCTGCTGGCTAAACTATTGCTGATCCAGGCCAGGATGCCATTGGCCTTCTTAGCCACCTGGGCACACACTGGCTCATGTTCAGCTGCTGTCAACCAGCACCCCCAGGAATGTTTGTAGTTCCAGATAAGGACAGCAATGAATAAAGGAAAGCAAAAAAATAAAAAATCTAAGCAAAACAACCCAACCCAAAAAACCCCTAAGCAATGCATAGGCAATCACTCACCACTTCCCACCAGCAGACCTACACCCAGACGGCCTCCCAGCAACAGTCACCTTGGAAGACTAAAGCCCCACCATACTTCTTCCTCTGCCACAGCTTTTCTCGCTGAGGTCAATGGAATGGCATGGAATATGCCTTTGGCCAATTTGGGTCAACTGTCCTGGTTCTGCCCCCTCCCTTTCTCTTGTCCAGCCCCCATCTACTTGCTGGGGAAGACAAGTGAAAAAAAAAAATGCAAGCCTTGATTCTGTGCAAGTATTATTCAGCAATAGTTGATAACACTAGTGTGTTATCAACACTGTTTTAGCTACAAATCCCAAACATGGCAGCACATGGGCAGCAACAAAGAAAGTTAACTCCATCCCAGTCAGACCCAGTACAGTCTCCACCCACTGCTCCACACCATTACCACCATACTCACGTCCTACATTCTCAGTCATCACCAGCAACCACAACTGCCCTTCTGGTCCTTTGACATACGCACAGACGTCATTCCCTTAGTCTGTGGGACATCTCCCAAATGTCCATACAAGTCTAGTCAATCAATTTGGTCCATGACTTGTAGGAAGCTGCTGTGTGGAGCACATCAGATGGTTTCACACAACACAACGGGATCCACTGGCAAATAGAGCATATTGCCTTTCACCTTCTGTTATTTATTATACTTTTGGGCTTGAGCCACCTCTCAGATGATGCTCTGAAATCTCTGCCTCCTGGCCCAACAGTGATCTCTTCCAGCATTCAAGCTGTAGCACACATATAACATAGGAATGCCAAAAATAATGTTTCGCCATTGTTTCTGCCTGTCAAAAAACTTCCTACCAAAAATTCTCTGTCAGCTTTCTACCAGAAGTTCTCACCAGAGCTTCCTGCTGGAGTTTTCCTGCCAAAAGATCCTGCTATTGTTTATGGTTATCATATCTCCTCGAACATCTGAATAGGGCTACGTGCCAAGAAACCACACACAACCTCCTTTGAACACTATAAAAGTTGAGGAAAAATTTGGGAAAAATCAAGGGGACAGCAAAGGGAGAGAGAGAACCAGTTACCCTAGCTGAGAATCTCTCCCAAGCCCCCCTCACCTTTCTTCTGCCACTGTATGCTGCCTAGCTGTCACGGGAGACTGGAATTCTGCCAGCCTGGAGAGGACTGAGAACCACTGTGTGACATACGTGAGTTATATTTTATTTCTCCACCCTGACCATATTTTTGAAGGCTGAAAGGTGCGTCTGAACTGCAACCCCTGCACAGCCTGGGACATGGCTCTTGGCATGAGCAGCAAAACCACTCATCCTAGCTGCATTCCAGAGAACTAAAGCTGTTAAGACACCACCCCCCACCCCCCCCCAACACCAGCTCCGTGGAGAGGTAGTTTTTGGTGGTATCTTTTCTCTGCTTCTAGAAGTAATCTTAGCATTTTCCAACCTTTTCTTATTTTTTCATCTTTCTCTTTGCATCTCTTAGCAATTAATAAAATCAGTTTTGGTATCAACAGATAATTTGTGTGAGTTTTAATTTTGCTCCAGGGTATATACGGATCTGAAATTCTTTCTGCAACATTTAAGCAGATTGTAACACAAGGGCACTGGGGTTTCCTCATTTGAGCCAGCTGTGTGATCAATCCTACCCTCTTACTCAATGTAGCTTTCGTTGCATGATGTGTAGAGGCGACCCTTCCTGTGAACATCTAGTGCAGCACAAGCACCTCGAACCCTTGATACCCCCAGCTCCAGAACCTCAGCGGTCAACCTTGGGTCTTTCCAGGTATTTTCTGCCAGAGGCTCGAGGTGAACAGAGCATGTTTCTTACAGCTGATACTTTTTGGACAGGCCCAAGGGCTACCACACAAACCATCCTGCTGCTGTTTAGGAACTGTGGTGGGTTCACCTTGTCCAGACACCAGGTGCCCACCAAAGCTGCTCTGTCACTTCCCTCCTCAGCTGGACAGGGGAGAGAAAATGTAACAAAAGTCTCCTAGGTCAAGATAAGGACAGGGAGAGATCACTCACCAGTTACCCTCAGGGGCAAAACACTATCACTGATGGGCTCTGTTGTTGCTGATGGCAGGTCCAACTCAGAGCTGGTAGGGATTGGCTCTGTTGGACATGGAGGAAGTTTCTGTCAATCTCCCACAGAAGCCGCCCCCCTGGCCCCCAACTACCAAAATCTTGCCACACAAACAATACATTTGAAACAGTTCTTTAAGGTCACTCAATGGAGAGGACTCACAAAGTGACTGTGACCCAGAATACGCAGTTTCCAGAGATGCACTATGCCTAGGAAAACTTTTTTATTAGCTGGTGGAAACTCGACATTTATCTTACTGATCACATCCATGGGGATATGATAATGCTGATCTTGCTATTACAAGCTTGGAAACATCTGTCCTGGAGAAGAAGAGAATGTCTCCATGAGACGGTTCCCTGAACACTGGGATGGCAGCAATGCAGGGGCCGAACGCCAGACTTGGCTCTCGGTCATTGCCTTTATCACAGGTCTCCCAGGCAGAGCAGAACACAGTGATAAGCAGCACAACAAACAGCAAGAGCTGACAGCAGCCATGCAGAAGCTTTGGAGCTTAATGTGCAGCAAGAGAGGGAACAAATAATTCAGCATTGGGACCAGCAACAGCAAGTAGCAGCTTAACAGCTGTGAAAAACAGACAGACCAGTCACCACAACTCTGGGTGCCACAGGGACGGCAGTGGGGTGGTTCCACCAGCATCCAAGTGCCCACGCAGCTGCTCACTCACCCCTGCTCACAGAGGGATGTGGGGAAACTGAAATGAATAAGTGTCCTTCTCACAGAATCATAGAATGGCTTATGTTGGAAGGGACCACAGTGGGTCATCTTAACCAACCTGCCTGCTTAAGCAGCACCATCCTAGAGCACATGGCACAGGATTGTGTACAGACAGTTCTTGAATATCGCCAATGAGGGAGACTCCACAAACTCTCTAGGCAACCTGTTCCAGTGCTCAGTCACTGCACAGTAAAGTTCTTACTCATATTCAGGTGGAACTTCCTGTGCATGAGTTTCTGCCTGTTGCTTCTTGTCCTATTGCTCAGCACCACCAGGAAGAGCCTGATTCCATCATCTTGCCACCCTCCCTTCAGATAGTCATAGACATTGATGAGGTGCCCTCTCAGTCATCTCTTCTCAAGACTGAACAGCCCCAGCTCCCTCAGCCTTTCCTTGTAGGAGAGATGCTCCAGTCCCTTCACCATTTTTCTTGCCCTCCACTCTCCCCTATTGCTAAGACAGAGGCTGACAGTCGGTGACGGCATTGGGGAAAGCAGCAACACTGATAGTGTCCCCATCGCAGGGTGTCTCCAACCCAGTGTCCCCCGGGTGGTGTTCCCAGCCCAGTGTGCCTACTGCAGTGTCCCCAGCAGTGTGTCCCCATGGCAGCCCTGAGTCCCTGGCCCAGTGTCCCCAAGGCAGTATCCCCAGCCTGGTGTCCCCAGTGCAGGGTATCCCCAGGGCAGCCCAGTGTGTCCCTGTCACAGTGACCCCATCCCCGGCACACATTTCCCAGAGCAGTGTTCCTGCCCCAGTGCCCCCCAAGCAGCCGGTGTTCCTGTCACAGTGTCCTCATCCCCGGCATAGGGTCCCTATCCCAGTGTGTGCCCAGCCCAGTGTGCCCATGGCAGTATCCCCAGTGCAGTGTCCCCAGGTTTGTCTCCACTCCAGTGTGTCCCCAGGGCAGCCCGGTGTCCCTGGCACAGTGTTCCCAGAGCACTGTCCTCAGAGCAGTATTCCCCGTCCCAGTGTCCCCCACAGTGTATCCCCAGGGCAGCCTCATCCTGGCACAGTGTCCCCATCCCAGTGTATCCCCATAGCAGCCCAGTGTCCCTAAGGCA